TGTCGAGTCCCACGAAATCCATGTAGATCTATAAATATTGGATAATGATCACTACTCATTGTGTCAGGGTATCGTTTCCAATCTACACACAGGCTTGGTGAGTGGACAGTGATGTCGATGGCGCTGTAAGTGTCAGGTGGTCGAAAAAACGTTGGACTGCCGTCATTCGCTACAGCAAGATTGCATTCTTCAAAAACTCTTACCAAAGCCCGGCCGCGCGTATCATCTCTGTTTGCTCCCCAGAGGCCATGATGTGCGTTCCAGTCGCCGCACATTAAAATCGGATCCTCGCAGCGTTGGCAGATTTCTTTTACACAATCTGCAACTTTGATTCCGCCCTTTCCAGCACGGACATACACTGTTAACACACATAAAATCTGATTGTTGAATTTGACACGAGCTGCTATAATCTCCAAATCCTCTGTACATAAGTCAGTGGTGTCAATCTGAAGGTGAGGGACGGCCTTTCTTATAAATAGGGCCGCGCTCCCATTTGGAGAACCGGTCATTGTAGGGTTTCGGTAGCAAAAATACCCGATATACTCTGATCCTTTGGCAGACCCGCCTCACTAAATGCAAGTATCGGAATTTGCGCACATTTTAAAAACAATGAAAGTTCCGCATGGCGAAGGTGAAGACTAGCACAGTTCCATTGCATGAGAAAAGGTAAATGTCGTTGTTTGGCTTTAGCGCTGGGTTGACAATTTGAAGAGTCAGCCATGACACTGTTGCAGGTTTCGTGTCATCTCTACTATGGCTGGTTGTAGAAGCATAGCTCCTTGGAGTATGGTCTTGAAAATACCTGGCGGTAGGAATTCGCCAGGTATTTCCTGGTGGAAATACCTGGCGGTAGGGAATTTCGGCCAGGTACCTACCTGGCGGTAGGTACCTGGCCGAAATTCGTCGCTATCCTACCTGGCGGTAGGATAGCGACGAATTTCGGCAATACAGAAAAAATGAAACTTATTATGTCTCCAATCGCCATGGATCCTTGCTGAGATCTGGTAGTACTCTGAGGGGGTCTGGTATCTGTTACCACTTTGCTATATAAGCGTCTTCCCGTAGCACCTTCACTTGGTACTTGGGCAGCGGGTGCATTTGCTGTTTTGGGGGACGATGTTACCATGTCGTTGGTCTCTAAAGAAGCTTCCTTCTGCTGTCCAGTGGTTGAGGTTGGGCTTGCTCTCTGTTTTTTCGCCTTGTACTTTGGATGTCGGTAGCGTGTGTCCACTTCAACGGTGACTTCATCCTCCTTATGAGCTGTGCTTGAGGACGGCATACCGGGCTCAACAATTTGGCCTTCTGTAGTTTTGATAGGATCTGGGCCGCGGACAAAAAGCTTCTTCTTGGCAAGCGCCTGGAGTCTTGCCTTACAATTAACATAATCGGCTGGATGGTTCCCACCACAGTTGGAACATTTGACAGGTGATTCGCCTTTGCAGTCCTTTGTGGAGTGGGTCCCACTACAATGCTTGCATTTCGCATTTTCCTTGCAATATTTAGCCACATGGCCCAACGCTTGGCAATTGAAACACCTTGGTGGCGCTTCAACAAAGTCTATCACCTCATGTCGAGTAAAGCCAAGGCTTACCTTGGTAGGGCATTCCGTATTTGGGCGAAAAGTGATCACGACTCGATCCGTTGGTTTGGCTGCTTCACCAGCTTTCCCATATCTCTGGTAGAGACGACGAGCTGCGATGACGCCAATGGGTCCAAGAAATTCTGTCAACTGTGAGTTTGAGTACCAGTCAGGAACTCCCTCGATAAGTCCATTGTTTTGCATATATGCCTTGGGGATTGTTGCCAGAACTGCCATTTCTCCTATAGACTGAATCTTCAAGAGTCGGTTAACTGTTGCCGGCTCCGTTACGTCGACGAGGAGTCCTCCTTTAGCAGTGAAGCGATGGCGAACAAAAGTTGCGCCAGCGGCTGCCTTCGGTTCCTCACTTAGCTTGAGGGGGTTAAGGTGTTGCAAACGGCTGGATTCTTGTGTTGGAGTCAGCAGCACGGGTATACCTGTTGTCCTCTTTCGACGATGTTGGACAAGGGTGAAAGCATCGTCGTCATCGTCTGCCTGGGGTTCTTTCCTTGCATCACCGTTTTTGATGTACAGCTTCGCTGGTGTTGTCTCTGGTTGCACGAAGTCATCCTGATCGTCGAATCGCCTTTTCCCATGTATATAAGCTCGCTGACCTGTTAAGGTGGCACTGCTTGTGGTGTCCTTTTCAGCGGCCAGCTCTTGGTCATCCATTGGGTCGGCCTCCAGCGGGGTCATATCTGGTGGTCTAGGTACCCAGTTTGACCCAGGAAGGGATCTTCTGGGTGTCGAGTAGTCCGGTTGTATAAACAGAGCCCCGGAAGGTGGAAAACAAAGGATGCAGTCTCCAAACTTGCCAGAAAATCAAGGAGCCGTTGTCAAGAACAACCTCGACATTGACCACTTGTTTTTCTCCTCTCTGCAAACGCTGACGTCCCTCCTACCGGCACTAACCGGCACCTCCTCCGTGTGAAAGACGAAGCTGAGGAGGAAATTCTGCCCGCTGTCGACGTCACGCACATCTCTGCGCGGATTTCTCCACCGCATGAATACCGATTTAAATTACCCGTGACCCGAGGGTCATGCTGTGTAGTAGAAGCCAGGCCGCTAAAAAGTTATGGGACGCGGCAGGTCTTACTCCTAATCCTCGCTAAGTCTAGGGAGGTCTTTACAGCCGCTAGAGGTCCGTGTTCCAACGGGGGTTCTCATGAAGATAAATGGGTGCAGTGCAAGCGAGCGCTTCTATGTAGTGTTGAGAGGTACTATTTCGCCAACCAAGATCGAAGACATGCCACTCCTCTGCATGGCCAAATAGGTTTCATAATGCAACGCCGTATCATGCAACGTCTTGCATGATGTAATTTTTGGGAGTTGTTTCATGGCACCCTATAGTCGGTTGCATGCTAAGAAAAAACCGGAAATGCCTCTCAGAGGAAGATGTAATCCTACGCCGAGAAACGCCAGTCAATCGTTTTCATGACGTCACGATTCCGTGGACCAATCGCAATCCTTTAAAAAAAAAAAAAAAAAAAAAAAAAGCTCGACATGGCTGCTGGCCTTAGCAACGCGACGCTAGTTAATCGTGACAATTATTCTGCTCTTTTGCACCTTGTTTTACGTGCCCGAGGTTACGCCACGAAATCTTAATGGTATCGGCCTGCGTTTGCAGCAGTTTTTGCGCGACAACGGGAGAATCCAGCGACGCTATCGCCAACGAAAATTTCGAAGCGGGCGTGAGGCTTAGCACTGCTGAGAGGTGAGAAGCTACGCCGGACGTCGTCTGCTTCGTTGGATTGTGCTTCTTGAAGAACCGCTTTTGTGTCGCCGGTAAGGCTGCACCAGGCTCTTTCGTCCAAGAAGAATCAGGGGAATCGCTTTCCGATGTCACCTCAGTGCAACGTTACTAGAACACTCAGTTGGGAAACTCGCCGTCGAAACCTGGGCCGCTGGCGTCCACCGAGACCGAGCCAAATACGACAACTGCGCCACTCTTTATCATTTGTCTGTACTGTGGTCACTTTGAGCTTTTAGAAAGCATGTTTTTTTGCGTAAAAACAAACGGAAAAGACTCTTTTTGTATGAAATTTATTGGAGTTTAGTACCAAATGATGGGCGCGTGATGTTTTTAAAATCTTTAGGTTGCAGCGTTTTGCGGCAAAATTAATATTGTTTTCATACAACCATGCCTCACCCGTCCTTTCAAATAGCGCGTTCCGACCTAGGTGCATTTTAACTTCGATAGCAAGTCGCGGCGCGTCCGCTGGGGAGACGTGGGTGGCACCTCTGTAACCTCTTCCGCTGTATCCGTTTTGGCTCCAAAATGGCCGATGAAAGCCAAAATAGAAGTAACATACAGTTCCTCGAGTGGCCGCTGCGGAAGAAGTGGTGGCGTTGTGTTCGTCATTAGCTCGGTTCTCTAGGAAAGATCGGGGCCATTTTTTCAGATAGGTCTCTATGGCAGCTTCCCAACTGAGCGTTTTAGTAACGTTGCCTCAGTGGGCTCCATGACGAAAGACAAAGAGAGCGGGGTGCGGTGGTGGTGTTGATGACTTGGGAGGGTGCCGATTTGTCAAAACCCGAAAAGTATAATTACTCTTGTTTTCTATTCATCCAACCAAATAAAGGCACACATTTCGTGCGCGAAGCCCACAAAACTAAGTAAATCACTAAATATTTATTATTTGCAGGAACTATAAGTGCTTCGCTTTCCCTCAATCGAAGGCGCTGGAAGACGGTATGTTAGACAGTATCTTGGACAGAAAATGAATTGGGAAGACGGTACATTGGACATGACTTTCTTTCTTTACTAAACAGCTATTTCGTTGACAAAAACGTATTCTAACTTATTTAAATATCCTGAATGAATTAAATAAATATTGTAGTAGTTTAAGACACGTTTCCTGGAGGAAGAAAAAGCAACGTTGCTAGCGAACTACTTTCTCGACGGCAGAGGCACTTCAGATGGGCGCAATGCGCTTGTGGGTGGAGCTAAAAGATTGTTCTCAGGTTGCATCCGACTATAGACTGCAGTAGTGCCACTAAATAAGCTACGCTTCAGAGTAACGACACTTGGCCATATTGTGGCTTAAAATCATGGTTGCCAGTTATCTGAAGCTTTATTTGAAATCACAGGAAATGCTTTTCCGCCCTTAACAAATGTTTAAACAGTTGGCGACAGAGCAAAGCAATATTACATGACCTTCCTAACACCGAATCTAATGCTGAGGAAGTCGCACGTTTGAATCATGACGATCGGCCGTTGCGTCTGTTCTGCATACGAGCCAAAATGGCGGCGCCCACAACAATGTCGGGGAACGGAGTGCCGATACTCTAAGCGCAGCTTATTTAGTGGCTCTAGTCTGCAGGAGAAAGAGGTGTTGTGAAAGAATAAGCCCTAGAAGAAGACGACGCCGATTCACATCCACAGCGTGCTGTCACGCGAGACATTCTTCTATCTTGGGCAATGAAACCTCACTTCGCTCCTCTTTATTCGAGTCGACCAGAAACCATAACCAAACATCACGACTCCACGGTTGAAGCGCTGAGCGAAGACCGAATTCTTAACGATGACGGCCCCTTCCAGTGGATGGTGCTGGGCTGTTCCTGCCTCGTGACCGTGGTCAACGCGTGCCACGCATTCAGCCTTACGTTGGCAGCTTTCGTGATGAACCATTGGTGCCTACCTCCAGACGATATCGGCAATCTGACTCTGGATGAGTGGAAGTCTGCCTCTATCCCCATTGAAGAAGACGGGTCTTTCAGCCAGTGCACCATGCACGACCCCCAATCCTTACTTAAAAACGACTCGATAAAGAAGATCATTTCCTGCGCCGCCTGGTCTTTTAACTTGACGGAACACGGTGAGACCATCGTCAGCGAATGGAGCCTCGTCTGCGATCGCCGCTGGTTGATTCCTGTGGCCTCCTTAGTCTATTACAGCGGAACCATCATCGGCTTACCCATCATGGGGATGGTCTCCGACCGCATCGGGCGAAGACCTGTGGCTTGTGCATCTGTAGGAGTATTGATCATTACTGGATTTGCCTGTACGTTCTCCAAGTCGTTTCTCTTCTTTACGGTGGTCCGCTTCGCAGTATCGGTGAGCGCCGGCAGCCTGATGACGGTCCTTTTTGTGGTAATCTACGAGGTCTGTGCTCCCGCAAAGAGGGTGCTCTACGGCACCTTAACCTCAGCGTCGGCGTTTGTCGTGACTCCTTTCATCTTCATCGCGATGTCCATCCTCCAGCTAGACTGGATGGTCATCCACCTCGTGTTCATGGTGCCAACATCATTCACGGTTGCCACCTTCTACATAGTACAAGAGTCGCCGCGGTGGCTTCTCGCTACCTGGAAGCTGAAGGCAGCCGAGCGGGTGACTCTCCTGGCGGCAAAAGTCAACCGAACTTCTCTAGACACCGTTCGACATTCTTTCAACTCAGCCATCAGAAGGATCCGGGCCAGCGACTTCGAAGAAGAAGTGCCGCTTACCATCACCCTCTTGGGACTGCTCATTCGGTCGAAGCACAGAAAAAACGCCATGCTTCTGTTCTGCACGTGGATCACCGTCAACTTCGCCTACTCGGCGTTCGCATCGACAAAGAGAATACTCTCCTACCAGTGGGTGCCGCTCGTCAGCGTGGCTTCCACGGCACCTTTTCTTGCGGGCCTCTACGTCTGCCTTGAATATTACGGCAGGAAGAAGGTAACGTTTGTACTGACCATAGTAATCAGCATCGGGGCAACGGTCTTGATGTTCACGTACCACGAAGGCAACCCCACGCTGGTTTCCGCCGTCGTGATCGTGTTCCTTGAAATGTCGAGCATCGCGGCCTTCACGGCGCTGCTCCTCTTAACGCTGGAGCTGCTCCCGACGGTGTTTCGCAGCATCGGCGTCGCCACCTCCTTCGCCTGCGGGAGCCTCGGGACCGTCCTCGCCACGATGCTCAACGAGGTCGAGGCCACGACAGTCCCCGAGAATGTGCTCCTCGCGGTCATCGCCGTCTTGACGATGATCGGGGCTTTTACCATTCACTTTCTTCCGGACACGGGAGGCTCGATGCCCCTTACGAGTTCCAAGAAAGCCGCCGACGATGTAGATGCCAAATACGCACTCGCGGCTTCGTTGGAGCCGCATTCTACCGACCCAAGAAGAAGCGCGATGCTCGAGAAACACCATTCAAGGAGATCGATACCATCGCCCGGTTTAATCCTTCGGCCCTTTCAGCCGGTACCTCATAGCGCTCTGGACTCGTCTCAAGCGAAACATATCAGCTCCAAGCAAGAGGCACAGCAATAGTCTTCCGAAGCGAGGGCTGGTTGGGAAAACTTCTAAATTGTTAACTTTTATTTATGGCGAAGACAGGACAAAGCAGCGTGTGCCCAATTCAAAACGTCTATTTTCAAGCTCTTAATTGGCGACAGTATTGTTGCTGTTTTGTTTTTTCTGATAGTGCAGTGTCAGTTATTACAAAACGATGTACGCATGTCCATAGCAATGTCCTTCAATGACAGTCGCGATTACTAATTGTGTCATATTCCTCGTTTTTTAGAAAGAGTTAACTGTGGACTCTGGATGATATAGCCTCTACGTCGTATTGCGCAACACACGGTTTAGTAGACGCACGGATTGCTTTCCTGGTTTCAATACCTTACTTGCCCCTACAAAATGTCAGATACATGTCAAATTCGGTCTCGTTCAGCTAGTATCAATCAGGTGGCTCCGACTTCAATTTCAGCTCGATCCGAGGCACCTGCCTTCAAATCGGACAGAATCCAGTCAACGGCCTGGGTGGTTCGGTGGATACAGAACGATTTCGACGGTTCCAGTGTGGCCTGATCTAACCAACATTCTTCTTCTGTATATATTTTTTTTTTTCTGAAATGGGAAGTTACAGGACGAAAACTACATTCAAACAAGACGATTTAAGCATTCACCAGGTTTGAGTTCCAATCTACTTTAGCGCGTACACGAACGCGCCGACCGAGCCGTTCGAACGACCCCCGGTTGACTCGCCGTCAGCGGCTGCCTTCCCATGCTTTGGCGGCCGATTCCGTCGTATATTACTGGCGGGCTTATGGCGCATCTAGTAAGACATTGATAATGCAAGACAGTTTCGCATTTACAAGGCGGGCACAGGCGTTCGGCAGGTAGCCCAAACGATGACGAGCGGCATCCCCGCGCGCGCAGACAAACTATAATCATGTCACAAAAAAAAAAAAAACTAATATTTAAATTTAAAAAAAAAAATGAAATTACATATATATGCGACGTAGGATGAAGGTACAATATTTTTTTTTTCAAACGCACTGCTTAATGTAACAAAATCCTTATATGTCAAAAAATTTTATTCATATTTAATTACATATACGTTGATTTTTGTATTTCATATTTTTTTGTTTTCATGTTTACAATGTTGTTTCTTCTGTATTAATCATATTTAAAGTAAAAATATAATTTCCTGTGCCTAATACAAAGCAGTCTCTCTTTTTTTTTTTTTTGTATATCGTTCTAAGTGCCGTTCGTCTGCTCGCACAATTAGCAGGTGGTGTTAAACTTCCAGACTAGACACACCGGATGACGCAAAAGGGAAACACTACGCTTATTGTTAGCCTGTTCGGTCGAGCAGCCAAGCCAGTCCAGTAGTAAAGGGCGGGGCCACTGATCTATAGGCGGGGCTTAGAGCGGGCTGTGACCTCCACCTAAAGTGCGTCTAACAATGTATACTTATTGCGTAAAAAAAAAACAATTTCCTGGAAACATTATTTTAAATAATACGCGTCCCATCTATTTTTTTTTTTTCTTTGCAGTGTTTCTAAGGGGTACTCCAACGATTTTTCATGGTCGCTGATCTGCCTCAAACTTTGCTCAACACATTGATAGACACGGATGTACCAAGTCCCCAAGTATTGTGCGGGAAAAAAATATCACCAAGGTATTACATATTTGAATTTTTTTCGCATTGTGTTTCTCAAACCGAGAGTCCTTACTGGCAACACTGAAGTGTAACGACATAAATTGTACAAAGTGGGCAGTAAACCGCGTTCCCAACTGATTACAAAGCGTTTGATGGTGGGAAAAGAATGCTTGGAAGCTCATTCACCGAGGAGCTGGAAAAAACGCTCGACATACTTTGTTTAAGACTATTGACTCCGTAAGTGTGACGTCATGGGTCCAAACAAACCGTTGCTAGGGTCATTGTTATGGACAAATACATGTGGCTAGGTTTCGCTACGAAAACCCGACCGTTCAAAAATCAGGAGTAGGATTTAAACTTCTAAAAATCACAGATATAGAAAGCTTGAATGTCATTTATGTTTCGACAGAAGTGCGCCGGTAATCGCTTGTTTCTGAAATATTTACGACTGCAACTTCCGGTCCTCAAGATGCCTGCAGCAGACGACGAACGCAAGAAGTATGCCGTCTGCCACACGCCCACCGGCCAAGCCGGCGCCGGCGTCTGAATCGTGTGAATAAAGACGATATTCTGATATTGCATCTGTTTGAAATATAATGAGTTTCAGACGCTTATAAGAATTCATAGTGGGGTGCGATTCAGAATATGGTTTAACGAACGTCCGGGAGTCGATCGAGTTGAACGATCGGCTGCTAAAAGATCGCATTGCACCCGTAAGAAAAGCACTTCAGTCGATCGGTTTAGATCCCAAATTTTGTTTGCGGACTCGCGCTATGGGAGGGTGCTTCGTACCTGGTTGTAACCATCGCGTGGAGAAACATTCTTGCAGTTTCTTGAGAATCCCGCAAGATCCCAAAGCACGAAAGAACAGGATAAAAAAAAAAAAAAAGAAAACATAAGGTGACTTTATTACAGATTGTACTCGCATCGCGGGTTCGATAGAGATCTTCACCAAAAGAGCACAGCCACAAAATTTGATGTAAACCAAGGAAAAAAAGATAGTTCGAAATGGCGAATTCTTTAATAATCTGACAACCTCAATTATAATAATAAAGAACGACTTACCTCGACGGCGTACGATTCGTTTCTCACGCCGGCCTGTACTACGCCGGTAATGCACTTCAGGTCGTCGTCGTAACTGATCTGCATGGCGTGGTTTGACTTTACGGCATTTTCAACCCCCTGAACTAAGCCGGGTTCTTCACAGAAAAAAAAAAAAGAAAACACATTGCGGAGGCTTCTACGGTTATGGCGATGCACTTGTTTTTCTCGCTCGTTAACCGACGCAATGGACTTCTTCCAAAACCGACGCGCCCCATCGCGGCAAAATACCACGCAGTGCACTCTGGGAACTAGTTGGCCGCTCAGTTTCGGTTTCGACTGAGCAGCTTCATCTCATGCTTTCACGCCGGGACCGAACGCGCTGCTTGCGTTTTCGATTATCTGACTTTTCACGAACGTACAATACACTCATTCTCGAGCGATACAAAACGAAGACTGGGGCACTTTTCTTGGTTCCCGAAACACCGGATATTATGAGTGCATATGCAAACGTAGTAAGACGTCGCTTAGTCACCTCACCCCACGAGTGCATCTTTGAGTTTAATTTCAATAATCCCGTCTAGTACGAGTGAACTAGAAATGAAATTTGTTCATCTGGAGCCTTTCACCTATTTTGTTTGCCAAACGTCCACTTCTTGTTACTTCATTGGGCAAAAAGCAAGCTGCATTCTCACAGAAGTATCAAAGTTGAGCCTTTTTGGACGAGCTTTTACTGACGCCCAAGATCTGTGCCTGAACGGTGTGTTTGAAATTATCTCGACATACTCAGGCAAGAAGAAAGGAAACACATAACAAATACTATGGGCATTAGCAACCGTCAAAAGCGCTTTGAATAATTTAGTTCGTTTGGCGCACCGCATAGGGGTTCATGCCCGTCCGACGTACTCCCGGCGAACGGTGCGACATTCTTCACAGAAGTTCTCAACTTTTGCTTTTTAAAAACGGTCTGTATGTGCGAATATGCCTATATGATTGCAGGATAACTTTATGCGCATACGCCATGTTGAACATTACTGGAATGCAAGCGGGTGGGGACCTCCCTCACTTCGTGCAGTGCTGCGGGTCAGTACAGATAAGAGATAAGAAGTGTGTTAAAATTGAGCTTTTCAATGGCGCCTCCGAGTTTTACCTCGCGTACTCAGGCGTATTAAGAAAAACAGTAATTGCAAAAAGGGATATTTCGTCTATGGACGCACGAAACAAACAAACTTCCTGATCAACAACACTAATGTAAAGGCGCGAGCTCGATGTATGCATACTTACAAGCAAGATCCCCGAGCTTCGCAGCGTCGAGATTCCCAGCACTGGCTCGTCCACATACCTCGATTGAAACGCTAACAGAAAGGCTCAAGTACAAAAATACAACAAGCATAAGTTAAGACAAGCTGCACGTCTCGGGCTTGTCTAAAGCTTCGAGGTCTGGTTTAGAGACCACAAATGACGCTCTCGGGACCAGAAAACATGAGATAACTGCCGTTAATAGTCCATGCTCTGTGTATAATCTCTTGTCGACGTGTCGATCGAAACCGAAACCATGCCACCCTCCTCCCTGGCTGGCCAACTAGTTCCCAGAGTGCAACGCGCGCCGTGTTGCATGTAGGGCTTTATGGAAGTAGTCTATTCAACGAAGACGCCCGCTGCAACAAAGGCCAGCGAACCTATTGTGTCGTCTGCTACCAAAGCAAAACGGAGTGTAATACTTCAGAAATGGCTTTGATCGTTGCAATACGACACTGAGACGACAACAACATCTTCGTAATTAGATATCAAGAAGTTAGGTTGCTTACAAAAAAGTATTTACTTACTTGTAAGCAAAAGTATAGCCTCATGTGGAGTCTCCATGCATTAGTCCATAGCAACGTCCCTAGCAACGGTTTGTTTGGACCCAGACACCATGTTGTGACGTCATCACTTACGGGGTCAATTGGCCTCGAGATCGAACTAGAGGTGGCGCTACGGTCGCGCTATCATCATCATCAAAACGGGGATGGGAGAACGGCCTTCACCTTCACGGGGATAGGCTCTTCACCTTCAAGCGCGAGACGGCGTATATTCTTGGGTTTATTTTGTCGCATACTATCGGTGGGAAAACAATTCTAGCGGAAAAAGATGCGGTACTGTTCGGTGCTTCAGTGAAGATTGAATCGTGTTGCCAGCGTGCGGCCTAAATTTATATAATTGCTTCTGTGGGTGCGTCGTCTGCTCTAGGCAGACGTTGGAAAGCATGGATCACCACGACTGATGCCTGTTTCCGGCTGAACTGGAATATTTATGTTAAATATTTGTTTCTTTTGAAATGGACGTATCGGTTCATTAACGT